AAAGTACATGTTATGTAAGCATTTTAATTCTTAAATGGCTTGATTTGTACCTTTAGCAACCAAAACAAGCCTCTGAAATGTACCTAGTTCTGTCACATGTCTTAGCCCGACACATGACCCACCAGACTTTTCAGGGTGTGTCACTTAAGGACTTTATGAGATAAAAACAAGTCTAAAGCTGTATAAGGAACTTTACAAAACATTTAAATGTCATGTAAGCGCTTTGAGCTCCAGCAAGGGGCTTTATAAATGTAATGTATTATTATTATTATTATTATTATTATTATTATTATGTAACACGTGGGTTCTCGTGGTTTAGCTAGCAACCTCAAATCAGATAGCACAGAACAAAAAGTGTAATAACATGTGTCAATTGAGATGATTTTGCGATGCAGTGTTACTGATTTCTGAAATGACAAAAATAAATGTCAATTCATACTTACATTCTGACACTAAACGCTTAGGGGGCCCCATCCTCTTTCGCTTGCTTCTCCTCGAGTCCATTTTCAGTTCTAAGCGTGTAGACTAGAGCATAGACTGTAGTGTACATATAATATGGAGAGGTTGAGTTTTATCCATAGACTGTATATATAAAGGTTTTATCACGAGCCGAGATGCACGTGACAGGCTCATGGCCAATCGTAGCACTTGAATGCTATGAAGGGGCGTGTCTTGCATAGTGCTCCAGCCGGATCCCGATTTGCAGCGTATTAACACTTTATTACGGTTTTAATATTTTAATTGTATATCAGTGAATATAAAAAAGCTGTGCTTTGTCAATTGAACAAGGAAGATGAAATACCTGATTCAAAATATCAAAACTATTGGTTTGAATCGTGTGAACAAGAAATGAGGATCAGGGTGCTAGGGCGCTAGTGCGCTCAGCGGAGTTCCACTTCCGGTCTGGCCCAGCGGCAGCACATCTTGAACTACGCTGGGTGTTAGGTTTTGTGGACGGGCCGGGGCCGCAGTAACGCAGTAGTAACGCCGCAGTCAGGTTATAGGTTATCATGATGACACTGCACACCAAAGTACTCAGTCTTATTGACGGAAGACAGACGTTTAAAAAAAAGAAAAAATTAATTAAATGGCTAATGAAAAAGGAATTGCTTCAAGGAAAAATGAAATGCAAACTCTGCAAAAAGAGGATGAAACTGGAGAAACACTCAAACGTCGACGGACTGCAGTGGTAGGCTAAGTCGTACATTTTTAGCACGGGTTTTAACCAAGCGGCAAACTGTGGGGTAGAGCCGGGACGCCAATACGGAAGTGCCACACACTGCAGTTCATATATTGGCCGATAGGCGATGGCTGCAGAAAGGAGCAATTTCCATAGACCCCCATGTTAAAATGCCCGATTTTACAGCAGAAAAAAACATGTTTCTACCCCTGGCTCCATACATTTTATTATCGATATAGTTAGATTCCACCTTCATGATTATGGATCTGTGAGTGAATTGTTTTCTAACGCGACCCTTTATATTTATATTAGGTCTTAAAGTTTGTGCACACATTAGGGCGTGGTCACTTTGATTGACAGATACGTGCCTCACTGTCAGCTAACAGCAACTTGTCCAATCTGCTAGGCTACAACCATAGAGGCTACAACGTTAGTTAGTTGTAGTTACTGTACTTGATCCTTTAGCTGTGTTCGTGGTGATCGTGCCTGTTAGGGAATATTGTTACAAATACCAGATAATTAAAATGTCGTGCTGTACGCTTGAATGTACTAACAGATCTTCCAAGAAGTCTACTTTCAGCTTTTTTCGGTGAGTAAAATGATAATATTATACATGTTAACCCCGTTAGCAGGTGTTTGTGTGCTTGTTAGCTTAGCCTGTTATGTAGCTTATTAGCCAGCTAAGGACGTAACCCTTTATACATATATACAGTTTAGTTTATGATTCAGCCTTGGGTAAGACTTTTATACTATATGGCTATGACGCCCATAATGCTAAACGGGAGCAAATGTTAAAAGGGGTGGGCCGCCGGAGTCCACGCCGCCGAAGCTAACGGGGCTGCAGGGTGCTAGCTCGCAAGCGCGTCCCGGCGGCCGTAGCTAGCACCCTGGGGCTCCGTTAGCTTCGGCCAGCGGCGGAGTCCGGCGTTATAACTGGAGATCAAGGAATGCATCGTAACGCGGACTTGGTTCGCCTGCAGCCCGCTGTAGTATTAGCTAAATAAATGATGTTGAGCAAGGCTTATTAAGCTGAACACCGCCACAATTATTCTGCTATGTATCGGTACTTATTTTATTTTATTAACGTGTGAATGACAAGCATTAAGAATAATACCAAATAGCTAATTATCTTGCAGATTGTCTCGTTTGATTATGAATGTTGTAGTGCCGAGAGATAGGGAGTCGGAGGCGGTGCAATGGAGGTACAAAGCTTGCTTTAATGAGCAGCAGAAATGTAGATGTTGTTGGGTCGCAGCCCGGGACGACAAGAGAAAGAGCCAGGAGGGCACACAACATATATAGATAACAACACATATATGTCCGTGTGGAAACAATAGCCCCAACTGTAGTTCCATGTATGAATTATGTCCCAGTGTATTAATAGGTGGTCACCACACAAGCCCCCCCAGAATTCAAACATGGCAAAAAAATCCTCGAGTCCGTGGAGGAAGCACCACAGGGGCCGAGGAGGGTGGGGCCGCAGGTGAGGACCGGGCCATGGAACGGGCCACGAAAGGGGGCCGCAGGAGAGGGCAGGGGCCCTAACGAGGGCGAGGGCACCCACACCGGGGGCGGGCCGTCGTAAGGGGGCCGCAGTACGTGTCGCGGAGAACCCAGCAGGAAAGAGCGCAACCCGGCCGCAGGCAGACGCACAACGGCGGCGGGCACGAAGTCCTCGGCAGGCGTCGAGGTATCCCCGGAAGAGAGGAGCAGTCACCCCGGGAGGAAGGAGCGCAACCCGGCCGCAGGCAGACGTGCAACGGCGGCGGGCACGAAGTCCTCGGCAGGCGTCGAGGCATCCCCGGGAAGCAGGAGAGCAACCCGGCCGCAGGCAGACGTGCCGCGGCGGCGGGCATGAAGTCCTCAGCAGATGTCGAGGTATCCCCGGGAAGCAGGAGAGAAACCCGGCCGCAGGCAGACGTGCTGCGGTGGCGGGCATGAAGTCCTCAGCAGGCGCGGAGGCATCCCCGGGAAGCAGGAGAGGCCAGACAGGGTCCCGGAGCGCGCCACCCATGGGCCGATGGAGCATGGGCGACGTCCGGAACTGTCGAGGCGAGAGGGGGTCCAGGAGTGCGCCACCCAGGCGCCGATGAACGTGAGTGGCGTCTGGATATCCCCGGAAGACAGGAGAGGCCAGACAGGCTCCGGAGCGCGCCACCCACGGGCCGATGGCAGCATGGGCGACGTCCAAAACCTTCGAGGCGAGACGGGGTCCAGGAGTGCACCACCCAGGCGTCGATGGAAACGTGAGTGGCGTCTGGAACCGCCGTGGAGGTGGTGAAAAAGGTGAGAGTGTCCACATGAGGTCAACCGGCTGGTCGAACCTCCTCTCCGGCACCAGAAAGAAAACAAAAACTCAAAAGGGTATAGCCGTTAGCTGTTGCCGTTAGCTGGCAGCCATCGGTAGCTGCTAGCCGTAGTTAGCCAACGTGGTTAGCTGCTAGTTGTCGTTAGCTAGCGCAGCTGGGACGTGCAGCCGCACGCCCCGAAGAAACCCCACGAGGCAGCAATCGGGTTCATCCCTACCCAGCAGGTCGTGCATCGTCCCCTCTGTAGTCGGAAGGCAGATGCGGGAATGACGAGCAACATCCCCAGCCATTCGGCGAGGCGCGCACCGAGCCTCAGTCCGCGTGCCTGTAGCAGCCACGGTCGACTCCAAAAAATCCCCGGCATTTCGAGAAAGAAACCTGAGTTTCCTTTGCCGTGTTCGGGTCCGTCTCGGAAACTTCCCAAGACGCTGTCAGGGTCACCAGTGTAGTGCCGAGAGATAGGGAGTCGGAGGCGGTGCAATGGAGGTACAAAGCTTGCTTTAATGAGCAGCAGAAATGTAGATGTTGTTGGGTCGCAGCCCGGGACGACAAGAGAAAGAGCCAGGAGGGCACACAACATATATAGATAACAACACATATATGTCCGTGTGGAAACAATAGCCCCAACTGTAGTTCCATGTATGAATTATGTCCCAGTGTATTAATAGGTGGTCACCACAATGTAACTTTTATATAGTGGAACTACACTGTTTTATCAAAACCAAAGTGCCACGCAGTGACTTGGTATGCATGTATTTCAGCAGGAAATGTGCAACCTAGATGACATTTACCAACACAGACTATATAGAAATATTTGTAAAAGTTGTTCATGCGTTACTAAGTGAATATGGCATTAACCCTCCTGTTGTCTTCGGGTCAAATCTGACCGATTTACTACTTTCATCAATCATGTTTTACATTCGATTGATACTGAGAGCATGTTAGCTTAGCTTCTTAGCCTGAGCTAGGACTCGAACGTCACGCTCGTTGGCAGCAGGTCCCGCCCTGTCCCGCCTCAGCTCCGCCTCTTTGCCCTTATTTGGAGAAGGCGGAGGGGAGTTAGACTCTGACGACACCGTCGAGCCGTTAGTGGCCGACTCCGCCTACTAAGGGCTTCACGGCAACTCTGCAGAATCCTATGGGTGACGTCACGGACCCTACGTCCATTTATATATACAGTCTATGGTTTTAACGATGACTTCCTCTGTTTACTGATATGTAATGTTACAAAGACAAGTTCTTTATCAGGAAAAAAGGACTAGGAATTTACGATTTGTCTTTTGTAGGAAGTGCCGACGTAAAAAACACCGAGGGAAAACGACGAAGAAGTCAGTGAGGTCTTTGTCCCTGTTTCAGAGGAGCAAATTGTCCTTGTTCAGCTGGATGATATACATTTACAGGTAATATTAATTCATCAATAATATCAGTCATTTCCTCAAAGCACAGCAAATGAATGCCTGTAAGTATTACGTTTATTTGAAGCATGTTGACTGTTGTTTAACATTACCGATATCTAAATGCTAATTTCAGTTAGCGCGTCAATGACGTTATCCATTATATGTTAGCATTGAGCTAGCGGACCAAGCGCTAGTTATTTGGCAATTCACAACGCAGGCTGCTTGGAGGTGTGGCGGGGCACAATGGCGCCGCTTTCACACCAAGCCCCCAGGAAGTGCGCCGGACTCTGAGGAGAACATTCGAGAGTTATTTCCCTCGGCATTATGAACGCGCATCCAACCCACGGGACCGCGCCGCCCGGCACCTTCATGTTACGTGTTCTGTACTACATGCGTTTTACCCTTAACCATAGACTGTATGTATAAAGGTTTTACCTTTACCCATGGATGCACAATAAGAACGGACGGGTATCGCCTTGCCGTTCGGGTGTTCAGAGCAGAGCTCCCTGTTGGAGCGGCAGAGCGTGATGTGAACAGAAAAATGTTTCTGTCGCAATATTATTTAAAGAATCGTTGAGCTAGCTAACTAGCATACATTGTCACTATCTGCTAACATTAGCTTTAGCTTTCGTTTTCTAATAGTTTTTCTCATAGGCTATAAACAGAATAGATCTTGTACTTGAGTAAAAGTAGAAGTACTCAGATATTGTACTTGAGTAAAACAGAAGTACTCAGATATTGCACTTGACTATAAGTACTCAGATCTTGTATTAGAGTAAAAGTAGAAGTACCAGAGTGTACGAATACTCTGTTACAGTAAAATTCCTGCATTCAAAATGTTCCTCAACCAAAAAATGGGTTCAGAACGTTACAATGTGTGATTATTCTAATAGCTTAAAAATACATGTGTAGATGCTCTGATACAGGGAAACTTGATAGATACAATTAATTAGCAACATTAAAATATTCTGTTTCATCTTGAGTAATAACAAATGTCTAATGTGAATTATAATTATACATTAGCCACTGGTGCTGAATGCGTTCTTCTTCATATGCTTTTGTTCATATTTAGTAATTCTATATTGATCTTTAACAGATTTTCCCAGGGACTGCAGCTAAGGCAAATTGACTTGCTGCAGGATGGCGTGGCAGGAAGCAGTCGCACGCTGTCAACAATTAGCCTGAAGTTGAGGAAGGTCTGCAAGAGTGCAATCAAGAGGAGAGAAAGGAGGGGAAAGCAGAGACTTGGAGGACCAAACGAATTTGTCATGCTGGACGAAAGCAACTTCTACCACAAAAGGAAGGTGCGTATAAACTACAGAGCCTTAGCCTTTGGCCTCACTAAAACTAAAACCTTTGTTTTTCAAGGTGAAATAACAACATATATTTTAAGGTCAGAGATTAACAAATGAATGAGCAAAGTAATGTAATTTTATAATTGTGTCATTCACACCCTTGTGACTGGCGAGACAAAGTATACATTAAAGAGAGCCAGCTCCACAGTGTATACACAGTCAAATAACAGAAAAAAAGGATTTAGAAGCTAAGAATTATCTCATCCAATCAGATCATTAAAGATGGGGTAGGTAAGTTTCAGAAACCGGCTCGAGATACACTTTTTGTTATATTCCATGGAATGCTCTTAACATCCCGATAGCAATGAATATCTTAAGTGCTTTGACAATAAATTTAAAAAAAATGTCCTCTGTAGAAGCCGTAATACTGTAAAAAGTACAACAGTACAAAAAGTAAGACAGGCAGGTAGGCCATCCAATCCGTTTAGCCGGGCTAAACGGATTGGATGTCAGCCTTCCATCGGGGCACAAACTTATCTCGTGCCCTCATTGGTCATGTGCGCGTTCGTGTGTGTTGGAGGAGGGGCTCTGTAAGGAAGTGGCAGATTTTCTCCGGTTGTGTATTTTCTAATTCTAGCGATCTCGAGCCGGTTTCTCAAACTTACCTACCCCACCTTTAAGGAAATAAATCCTTATTCTTACTTTTTATTACTAACATTTTAAAAGTGCATAATCTTATTTATATATCATCTAATTACAATATCTATCTTACATTTTCATGTTTCTTGCAGCAAAATAAGCAAACTTTAACTTAATAAAATTAAACAGCCTTTTCTGTTTGTAGCACTACATTTACATTTTTTTCTCTTCTTTTTTGAGAAAGGAAGTGAATATTTTTAAATTATTAAATTAATTTGATAAACACATTTCACTTTGTTTATCAATTGAAATTCCTGATGTTTATTTTTATATAACTGTGTTGTCCTTTTTCACTGCTTTATTACAGTATGGTAGGGGAAGATTCGGTCCTACGTGGAGGAGGAGAAAATGGGTCTTTGGAATGCTGGGCATCAGAGGAAAAAGGAGAAGACCTATCCTGAGGCTGGTGAAACAAAGATCACGGCGCCACTTAATTCCTCTGGTCACAAAATACGTTCGCCAAGGGACCACGGTGATAACGGACATGTGGAGGGCATACACCACTGCAATCGCAGAAAGTGGCTTTGTCCATTTCTCTGTGAACCACAGCCGGTCATTTGTGAACCCAGACACAGGAGCCCACACCCAAAACATTGAGCGGGCTTGGTCAACGTACAAGTCACAGGTCTGGAGACTGCAAAGAAACCGCACAGTGAAGACTCTGAAGAGTCATCTTGCTTTCATCGAGTGGACACATTGGCTGGCAAATGAACACAAAGATGGTCCCTTAGGCAGATTGCTGCATGACATACGCCACTTTTGCAAGTTCTGATGCAACCTTGTTTTCATTATTAGTGTCCTTTGGATTGTTGTTTAAATAAAAATGTAAACTTGAGTGCACAGGGTTTGTTTATTTGTTTACTGCTTAACGAATGGTAAAGTAATCATTAGGTAATGGGTAACTACTGTTTTTGATGCATTACTTTACTTGAGGGGACACACACTGCTTAACGAATGGTTAAGTAGGCATTAGGTAATGGGTAACTACTGTTTTTGATGCATTACTTTACTTGAGGGGACACACACTGCTTAACGAATGGTTAAGTAGGCATTAGGTAATGGGTAACTACTGTTTTTGATGCATTACTTTACTTGAGGGGACACACAATGCTTAACGAATGGTTAAGTAGGCATTAGGTAATGGGTAACTACTGTTTTTGATGCATTACTTTACTTGAGGGGACACACAATGCTTAACGAATGGTTAAGTAGGCATTAGGTAATGGGTAACTACTGTTTTTGATGCATTACTTTACTTGAGGGGACACACACTGCTTAACGAATGGTAAGGTAAGCATTACTTAATGGGTAACTACTGTTTTAGTAACGGTAAGGTAATCATTAGGTAATGGGTAACTACTGTTTTTGATGCATTACTTTACTTGAGGGGACACACACTGCTTAACGAATGGTTAAGTAGGCATTAGGTAATGGGTAACTACTGTTTTTGATGCATTACTTTACTTGAGGGGACACACAATGCTTAACGAATGGTTAAGTAGGCATTAGGTAATGGGTAACTACTGTTTTTGATGCATTACTTTACTTGAGGGGACACACAATGCTTAACGAATGGTTAAGTAGGCATTAGGTAATGGGTAACTACTGTTTTTGATGCATTACTTTACTTGAGGGGACACACACTGCTTAACGAATGGTAAGGTAAGCATTACTTAATGGGTAACTACTGTTTTAGTAACGATAAGGTAATCGTTAGGTAATGGGTAACTACTGTTTTTGTTTGCGTTCCTTGAGTTTACCATACCCAAACGGCCTAAGTAATGGTAAGGTACATCGGATCCACCTCCACCAGTTGATCCAGGGTGGGACCCAAGCCAGCCGAAGATGGCAGGTTTAAATGTGCCCTGCTGCAGCGGACCATTGCTTCAATCAAAGTCTCCCAGGAACTCCTCATAAAGTAACCATTAACGAATGATTCATTAATACAGTACCCCAGTCTGTTTACCAGTAACTAAGCATTAGTTCACTCAGGAACTCCTCATTAAGTAACCATTAACGAATGATTCATTAATACAGTACCCCCCAGTCTGTTTACCAGTAACTAAGCATTAGTTCACTCAGGAACTCCTCATTAAGTAACCATTAACGAATGATTCATTAATACAGTACCCCAGTCTGTTTACCAGTAACTAAGCATTAGTTCACTCAGGAACTCCTCATTAAGTAACCATTAACGAATGATTCATTAATACAGTACCCCAGTCTGTTTACCAGTAACTAAGCATTAGTTCACTCAGGAACTCCTCATTAAGTAACCATTAACGAATGATTCATTAATACAGTACCCCAGTCTGTTTACCAGTAACTAACTAACCATCCATCGCAGTCACTGAGGAACTACTCATTAAGTAACCATTAACGAATGATTCGTTAATACAGTACCCCCCAGTCTGTTTACCAGTAACTAACCATAAGTTCACTGAGGAACTACTCATTAACTAACCATTAACGAATGATTCGTTAATACAGTACCCCCAGTCTGTTTACCAGTAACTAACCATCAGTTCCTCAATCGCAGTCACTGAGGAACTACTCATTAACTAACCATTAACTATCTAGTAGTTCCTCAGTAACTAAGCACATTTTGTGTACCTTATTGTAAAGTGTTACCAACGTTCTTGTACTGTGCACTTGAATAAAAAACAACTCTGATTTGTCCTGGTTTCTGGGGATGGTAGACACCAAAACTTGGTAAGTACCAGCACTCTTGATGCTCTTCCAATGTGGGAGCAGGATCTGCATGCCCGTTGCTGAAGATTTTCTTCCCAAAGTGACCCTTCATCTCAGGTTTCTTTGTCAAAGTCCTGCAGAGTGACATGAGACGACTGAGAGCTTGTCCCCGATTGTTAGGAAGACGTTGTATAGGAGTGCGAAAAGGGAAGGGGGCCACCCAACTGTTGCAATCATCCTTTGTGAAGTCTTTGTCCATTATGTGGAGGAAGGTCTCATCCTCAACTGAGGGTGCAAGTTTGTCGTCATCATCGGAAAGGCTGAACACAAGCCTGCCTAGCTTCTCAGGTGTAGGCCTTTGTTGTTGACCTGTGAAATTCTCTTTCACGTAGATGTTACTCTCGCATGGACGGAAGAAGCTGGGGTGTCCATTTTCCAGGATGCTGGTCTTGAAAGTGTTCACAGTTGGCTTGTGAGTTTCCCCGAGACAGACGTCGCCCACAATGACCCACCCCAAGTCAAGGCGTTGGGCAAAGGGAGCATTGTGTGGCCCATTGCACTGGCTGCGAACTCTGTGAGCATGAATAATGTATCTACCAAGCAACAGTATGATTTCAGCTGAAGGGTTGTGTTGTGGGATTTCGGCAGCCACCTTCTTCAGATGAGGATGATTGCTTGCAGCCTCCAGAGTAGGAATTTCGTCCCTATTTCCAGGAATGAGGTTGCATTCAATAAGGGTAGGCAGTAGTAAGGGCACTCCTCCGTTAACAGACTCGACAACAAAGCCACTGGCTCTTCTCCCAGTGGTTTCTGTTGTGCCAGAGCATGTCTTGATGGTATAAGGAGAAGCGTTTTCATGAATGCTAAATTTGTCAAAGAAGTCAGATATTGCTAGTGATAAGTTGCTCTGGTCATCTAACATTACATTACATTACATTACATTGCATTTAGCTGACGCTTTTGTCCAAAGCGACTTACAATAAGTACATTCGATAACATCACATACATTTGATTTTTTCTTTCCGGATATCCTTTAGGACAGACGTTGACCAAAGTTATTTTGGAGCAGGATTTACCTTGGAGGTCTTTCCCACAGACCTCGGTGCAATGAGAGGTGGCTACCTCTGTGGCCTGTTCAACTTGCTCCCCGCCATGCACTGCGGGAGATGTGCTGGGACCAGATGCTGCCCAGTTGGGTGGACCAGCATGAAGAGCTGAGATGTGACGATTACTGTCGCACTCTGAGCAGTGGATGTCAGCTTTACAGTCTTTAGCTTGGTGGGTCGTAGAAGCACAGCATTTAAAACATATGATATGCTCTTTCAGAAAGCTCTTGCGTTGATCAAGCAGCATTCCCCTGAAGCACTTACACTTTCTGAGGGGGTGTGGTGTTTTGTGGATGGGGCATAGCTTGTCTGGATCCTCGTGAGGCTTGTTTTTAGAGTCAGGGGAGGAGTAGTTCCCTACTTCAGTTTCATTGACTGAATTGCTGTTCTGAGTCCTCCACTGCTTCGCTGGGGGGTGCTCACTTTTGAGAGGTTGAGCGCTGGAGTTTTGGAAAGCAAAGCTTGGATCATTGCTCATCTCTGCATGGCTTTGCACAAATGTAACAAAGAAGGAGAAAGGTGGGTAATGAACCTGATGTTCCTTTTTGTATGTTGAACCTCGAATTATCCATTGGTCCTGGAGGTTATATGGGAATTTCTCCACAATGGGTGTTACACCTCTAGATGTGTCAAGGAAGCTGAAGCCTGGTAGGTAACCCTCGCATTTAGCAGTTTCAACTTCGAGGAGCAGATATGCGAGTTCCTGCAGCCGCTGAAAGTCCTTGTTCAGGAGTTTCGGAAAGTTTTCAAGCCTGGCTGGCTTGCTTATCTTTCTTACAGTGCAGACGCTTTTCTGCTTGCTCTTGCCTCTGCTTACTTTTTATGCTGATTTTCCTATTCTTATTCTCTGAAAACTTCGAGCAGCGGCTCCTGGACATTAACTTATCACTGGGACAGTTCATCTTCGTAAATAGATGGAGGGTTTCAGCCATATTTCAAAATGTTTACGACGACGTCAGTCTTACAATAGCGTGGCCTAGCAACAGCTAAAGCCTGGTAGGCTACTGCTATTTAGCTAGTTGGTAGCAAAATGCCTCCGTTCTCTACAGATGACTTCCAGAAACGTATACAGAAGATGGCTGTGTTGGAAATGAAAATGCAACGGTTGGAAGTTAACGTGGAAGGGAATGGACTATGTCGTGGGAATGACACGACTTTACCAGTGTTGCAAAATAATGGAGAAGGGTATGCTAACTCACAGCTAGTTAGCAGCTACAAGGATTCCAAGGAACAGGAGGGTTGTGTACCGGGTAATAAATCTACAAGTGGTAGTCCTCCCTGGAACTCTCTGGGTGCAAAGCCTAAGAGTAAATCATTTCCATGGGATTTGGGAGGACGGATAACAGGCAGAGCCCAGAGCTCCGAAATCTGTGATGCGACCGGCTGGCCTGCATTGTTATCACCCAGGAAGAGCGCCTCTTCAACCCCTATTCATACTAGGAAACAGCAGTGGACAGCTGCTAAAGGGAGAATTACAAACAATCCTCCTAAACCACCAAGTGTGCCAATCCAGAACAGATACGCTCCGCTGACCGAGAACCGGAGATCTGATGACCTGGATAACCTGTCCTCTTCACGCAGCAGGGTAAGGACCAATAGCTACTCTAAAAGTAAAAGGCTAGAGGGAAAGCTAACGACTGGGCCTGAAACTCTGATTGTGGGTGACTCTGCTGTAAGAGATGTAAAAGGTCTGTGTAATAAGAACAACACCAAAGTACTCTGTTTTCCCAAGGATGTGGTCTCTGACTTGGCTGAGAAGATCCTGCATATTGGGGCTGAACATCCGACTGTGAAGAATGTGGTACTGCACATTGGAACAAATGATGTTGTGAAACAACAGTCAGAAGTGCTGAAAGAAGACTTTAAATGTTTGTTGGAAACTGCCAGCTCTCTAAATGCAGAGGTGTTCATCAGTGGCCCTCTACCGCCAGTCAGAAGAGGAGTGGAGAGATTCAGCAGATTGTTTGCACTGAACACCTGGCTTTCAACGGCCTGTACTGACCATTCTGTCCATTTTATTGACAATGTTAACTTTTTCTGGGA